CTACCTGGAAACTGACTGGAGTAATGGTACTGCAGGAACAGTTAAAGGGCAAACATTTTTAAACCTACTACAGGACAATTTTATGGTACAGTTCATAGAGGCCCTAACTAGGAATGATGCTCTGCTGGACCTGGTAATCTCAAACCATGCAGAGCTTGTTATGAATGTCCATATAAAAGACCATCTGGGTAGCAGTGACCATAACATGATTTCATTTATTGTTAACTGTAAACAGCAAGCACATATGGGAAAAATGAAAATGCTCAATTTTAAGAGAGCTAATTTTCCAAGGCTGAGAGCTTCTCTCCAAGAATTAGACTAGGAGAGAATATTGGCATCGATGAACACAACACAGAAATGGGAGTTCCTAAAAAAGACTGTATGTGAACAAGCTGCAAAATATACTCCCATGGGTAACAAGTTTAAAAGGCTAAAAATCAAACCTATGTGGCTTACGGCCAAAGTTAAAAAAGCTATAGATAATAAGAAAAGAGCTTTTATTAAATATAAAAATGAAGGAACGTTATCATCGTTTAAACACTAAAAAGAATATAACAGAATATGGCTGCAGAAACTGAAAACAAACAAAAGATTGCAAAAGATAGCAGGACAAACCCCCAAAAATTCTTCAAATATATTAATAATAAAAAGGTCCGGTCTGAGCATGTAGGCCCTTTACAAAATAATCTAGAGTGGGTGACGGGGGACAAAGAGAAGGCAAATTTATTAAATACCTTCTTCAGCTCTGTGTATACAAAGGAGCATGGGGGAGCTCTTGTCCATAATGGGCATGGTATTGACACAGCCCCAGGTGATCCACATTGGCTCACAATTGATATGATCCAAAAATATTTAGACAGAATAAAGGTGAATAAAGCACCTGGACTGGATGGCATACACCCACAGGTCCTTACAAAATTGAGCTCTGTCATTTCAAAGCCATTGTCTTTAATTTTTAGGGACTCTTTAATGACTGGCATAGTACCACTGGATTGGCGTAAGGCCAATGTGGTTCCAATATTTAAAAAGGGGTCATAATCTTTACCAAGTAATTATAGACCTGTTAGTTTAACTTCTATAGTTGGGAAGATACTGGAGAGTTTAATAAAAGATCACATAGATGAGTTCTTGCTGGAAAAAAAAATTTTAAGCAACAGACAGCATGGATTCATGAAAGACAGAAGTTGTCAAACAAATCTGATTTCTTTTTACGAAGAGGTGACCAAAACCTTGAACAGAGGGGTGGTTGTGGACATGGTATACTTGGACAGAGGGTGGCGGTGGACATGGTATACTTGGATTTTGCAAAAGAATTTGACACAGTTCCCCACACATGGCTAATGTGTAAGGTAAAGTAAGTCTACAGGCTTGGAAACATCTGTATGCAGATGGATAGAAAACTGGCTAAAAGATCATATTCAGAGAGTAGTGGTTAATGATTCATACTCTGAATGGTTTAGGGTTGTCAGTGGTGTACCCCAAGGTTCAGTGTTGGGACCCTTACTTTTTATTATATTTATAAACAATATAGGGTCTGAGATTAATAATACTATTTCAGTCTTTGCAGATGACACCAAGCTGTGCCGTGGAAAAACTTCCTTACAGGATGTCTCCAACTTAGAAGCCGACCTCTGTTTAATTGGGCAATTATGTGGCAAATGAGGTTTAATGTTGATAAATGTAAGGTTGTGCACTTGGGGGCTAAGAATATGCATGCATCATACATACTAGGGGGGGGTACAACTGGGGGAATCAATGGTGGAGAAGGATCTGGGAGTTCTGTAGATCACAAGCTTACTAATGGCATGCAATGCCAAGCTGCGGTTTCTAAAGCGAGCAAAATCCTCTCTTGTATTAAAAGAGGTATAGACTCCAGAGAGAGAGAGAGATATATAATTTTCCCCCGGTACAAATCATTAGTAATACCTCATCTGGAATATGCAGTTCAGTTTTGGGCTCCAATTCACAAAAAGAACATTGGGGAACTGGAGAAAGTACAGAGAAGGGCAACCAAACTGATAAGAGGCATGGAGGAGCTCAACTATGAGGAAAGATTAGAGGAACTGAATTTATTCTCTTTTGAGAAGAGGAGATTAAGGGGGGATATGATCTCCATGTATAATACATAAGGGGGGATATGATCTCCATGTATAATACATAAGGGGGATATGATCTCCATGTATAAACATAAGGGGGGATATGATCACCATGTATAATACATAAGGGGGGATATGATCTCCATGTATAAAACATAAGGGGGGGATATGATTACCATGTATAATACATAAGGGGGGATATGATCTCCATGTATAATACATAAGGGGGGATATGATCACCATGTATAATACATAAGGGGGGATATGATCTCCATGTATAATACATAAGGGGGGATATGATCTCCATGTATAATACATAAGGGGGGATATGATATTAATGTATAATACATAAGGGGGGATATGATCTCCATGTATAATACATAAGGGGGGATATGATCTCCATGTATAATACATAAGAGGGATATGATCACCATGTATAATACATAAGGGGGATATGATCACCATGTATAATACATAAGGGGGATATGATCTCCATGTATAATACATAAGGGGGGGATATGATCTCCATGTATAATACATAAGGGGGGATATGATCTCCATGTATAATACATAAGGGGGGATATGATCTCCATGTATAATACATAAGGGGGGATATGATCTCCATGTATAATACATAAGGGGGATATGATCTCCATGTATAATACATAAGGGGGATATGATCTCCATGTATAATACATCAGTGGTTCATATAGTGAACTCGGTGTAGAGTTATTCACCCTGAGGTCATCACAGAGGACAAGGGGGCACTCTTTATGTCTGGAGGAAAATAAATTTAATTTCCAAACATGGAAAGGTTTCTTCACAGTAAGAGCTGTGAAAATGTGGAATAGACTCCCTCAAGAGTTGGTTCTGGCCAGCTCAGTGGTCTGGATTCTTTCTTAGTTACACAGTATATAACTGGATACTAACATTTATAGGTAAAGTTGATCCAGGGAATAGCCGATTGCCTCTTGGGGGATCAGGAAGGAATTTTTTCCCCTGCAGGAGCACAATTGGTTCATGCTTTGCTTGTTTTTTTTTTTGCCTTCCTCTGAATCAGAGATCTCCAAACTATGGCCCTCCAGCTGTTGAAGTACTACAAGTCCTATCATGCCTCTGCCTCTGGGAGTCTTGCCTGTGGCTGTTAGAGTCTTGCAAGGCCTCATGGGACTTGCAGTTCTCCACACCTGGAGGGACATAGTTTGGAGACCCCCTGCTCTGGATCAACTGTGGGTGTAGGATTATAACATTTTATTTTTTTTACTGGTTGAACTGGATGGTCTTTTTTCAGCCAGACTATGTAACTATGTGAGCTGAATTCCAAATGTTTATTTCACACAAAAGAACTTGGCAATCACAGCTCTGTCAGCTGAATTCCCTGTGACTGGCATGTGAATTTAATTAAACAGTATTAAAAAGAATTTACCTAGCTGATCATGGACAAATATAAACTGAATGTTAAGTATTTTAAAAAGTTCAAACAAAACAAGTAAACTATAAATCCTACCACATCTTCAGATTTGATGCTAGAAATTATCTTGAATTGTACTTCCCTGCCCTGACAAGCAAATGATGGTCTTTGGAGAAGATTCTTTGAAATGATAAATCTTCACTATATACAGTATTCAGGCATAGATCTTTTTTTTTCCGGGGGGGTGTTCAGTTTTGGGTTCCCAGAGGACAATAATGAGCGGACCTGCCACACTGAAATATTGCTGGTGTGGCAAAATTGTGCTAACAATGGCAGGGGATTAAAACCTGACCCTTTGCACTGATAACATGGTAACATATGCCAGTCCTTGCACCCAAAAAATTAATTACTTTGCTACATGCGAGAGTCTAAGCCCTGGTTCACACTGATGCTCATAATCGCACCCCGTTCATACGAACCGCTGCAGGTGTATATTTTAAGTTAACGGCACGCAGTGCGATGTGCAGAATCGGATCTCAGGAGTGTGAATACCCATGCGATCCGATTCTGGTGCAGACAAAAAGAGTCCTGCACTTTTTTGGTGCGGATAAAAGTGCAATTTGAGCCATATAAAAATGTATGGCTCAAATTGCACCGCACAGAAATCGCATGTGATTTGCACAGGAATGCGGCGCGGTTTCCTGTGCGAATCACATGCGATATGCCGTACCGTATCAGTGTGAACCCGAGCTAACAGACATTATTAACAAACCTCAGCACAATGATTTGTAAAATATGAAACTCTACCATCACACATGCTTTTCTGCACAAAGTCTACCTTGAAGAAGAACTTCATTAACCACTTGCCCTCCGGAGGATTTATCCCCCTTCCTGACCAGACCATTTTATGCAATACGGCGGTGCATTACTTTAAATGACAATTGCGCAGTCATGAAACGCTGCACCCAAATGATATTTACATCCTTTTTTCCCACAAATAGAGCTTTCTTTTGGTGGTATTTGATCACCTGTGCATTTTTATTTTTTGCGCTATAAACAAAAAAATGACTGTCAATTTTGAGAAAAAAACAATATTTTTGACTTTTTACTATTAAACATTTCCAGTAAAAAAAATGTAAAAATCAAATTTCATCATAAATTTAGGCCAAAATGTATTCTGCTCCATGTCTTTGCTAAAAAAAAAATCCCAATACGTGTAAATTAATTGGTTTACGTGAAAGTCCTAGAGTTTACAAATGGTGGTATAGATACTGGAATTTTTTTTTTTTTTACTAGTAATGGCAGCGATCAGTGACTTATAGCGGGACTGCAGGACTGCGGTGGGGATTCTGATACTGGGGGGAACTGATTTGGTGTCAATGACATCCCCAATGACAACATTACAGTGATCAGTGCTAATAAAATGCACTGACACTGTACTAATGGCACTGGGCAGGAAGGGGTTAACATGTAGGGCGATCAAAGGGTTTTACTACGTGGGCTGTGTCTGTGTTTCACTGTAAGCACACTGCTTTGTATGGCTCTGCTGTGCAGAGCCATACAAAGCAGTGTGCAGGAGCTGACAGGTGAGAGATCTGTATTGTTTACATACAGGTCTCTCCCCCATCGGAGATACTTGGCGATCACTGGGACCCGGTGACTGACAGCCGAGGCTGCAAATTGCAGCGTGGGTAGAGTTGGCGCGCCCCCTACCCTGAATATACGTGATTTTGCACACCCCTGCGCCCTTGTAGCAGTATTTCTGTTGTAGGATGGAGGGGAAGCAGTTAACAGTGACTACTGAGCAACTAACAACAGTACAATATAGCATAAATATTGCGGGTGTCAGGAGTATGTCATATATAGCCTAGCATATGTAGTCCCCTTTAGACAAAACTTTACCGGAGGCAGCCAATCCCTGTGACAGCAAACAGGTATGAAACAAATAGGAGTGGCCTAAGGCCTCTCATCACACTGATACTGCAGATGACCTCCCTGATGGTGATCAATCTCACATACTCTGTCCTAACTAGGTGAGAGATAGTCAGCAATGTTCCTGGTCTCCCTCTCAGACCTAGTGTCCATGTGGTCCTCTGGCTCAGCAGTCCATCCCCTGATGACCAATCCCATAGGCTGGATGGAGATGGAAGAGCAGGCCGCACTATACCTACATATGTACAGTGGAGGGTGAAAGCTTACAGTGCCTTGAAAAAGTATTCATACCCCTTGAAATTTTCCACATTTTGTCATATTACATCCAAAATACTAAATGTATTTTATTGGGATCCGACTGCCGGATCATAGTGCTGTGTACAGTATGTGGATCTGAGGAGTGGCTGGCTGCACTCTCAATGGGTCCTGGCAAATCCCCAACAGGAGGTTGGCAAGAAGCTGGACACCCTTAAAAGTGTTAGAGCCTGCTCAGTTGCAGGAGAGTTGAAGGGAGACTTCAGGTGGAAGATGTGAGGCTGAAGGAAGGAGGCTGCGATTGGATGGGGCCTACCTGCATTCTTGGAGCTGGAAAGGAGGAAAGCTCAGAGCTCACCGGCCCCCTGAGAGAGGACCATCTGTATGGCAGAGAAGGAGGGGCCCAGCTGATAGGTCTAGTAGTAACCACCAGCCCACAAGCCGTACAGAGGATCTGAGTGAGGACCCCTACACCCCCTGGGCAGATAGGGGAGGGAGCACTGTGGTGGAAAACCAGATTAGCCACATGTCAGTGACTGTTAAACTCTTAAAGTGACAGGAACTGGATCTCCTGTTAAGGGATATCTCAGATTGCTGTGTGAAAAGGAGAAGTTCATCTGGGGTCTGGGGTGGTAGACTAAGGAGATGCTGGCTAGCTCTCCAACAGAGGCTGTGCTTATCTTGGGCATCCTGTACACCCTTAACCCTATCACAGTTCAAACCCCCTAAATATAACAGCAAAGCCGGGGTCCCGTACCAGCAATACTGCACCCATGTGCTGGACCCCTTTGGGAGCCCTGCGTGTTAAATGCCTCTCTGTACTCAGAGAGGCTCCTTCTTCTATCCACCTCGCACTCTGTATGCTGATTCTACAACAATTTTTCCAGAGAGTCTATTATGTTATTAGTCTGTAAATGTCTATAATTTTTGCAATTTACTGCCTTTTCTTTCTGTACGGTACTTACACTAAAGAGATCAAAGAGGAGAGGCGTTGTGGTTGTGGCAGAATTGTGTTAACTGTACATAGGGATTACATGTATGTAATGTATAGAGTGCATGTGTCAGGTTTATGTAACATACAGAGTGAGCTGAGTATGAGTGGGCTTTTGGGGGGGAGGCTGAGCCCCAGTGTTACTGCCCCCTGGCCACCCACCCAAGGTCTAAAATATAGCTAGAGGAGGCTGTTCATAAGGCATGGCAGCCAACAATTTAACATTAACAATTTAAGCATGCTGAGTTGACTATCAAATCATCCAAGTCAATGGGGTTGTGTCACAACTGCGAGCCAAACACTTGGCTTGTGGTTACAGTGTATTAACACCTCTATAAAACAGCCATTGGCAAAAAAAAAAAAAAACAGGCACCTGTGGGCTGATATGATTGCCTCCTGAACACCTGACAGCAGCTGCTTAACCATACTCTGAAAAGTAATCTACTGTGGATTGCCTTTCAGAGTTTTGGCTAGTGTGAACCGATTGTACAGCCATTGTAATGTCACCAATATTCTAGTCCTTCTAACATGATGACTGTAAGCTGACACATATGCTTCACAGATGTCAGGTTACTTTCACCCTGTTAAGGACAAGAATATTGGTGGCATTACAATGGCTGTTATTATAATGGCTGTATTTTCTGAGTAATACACCTGTTTGCCCGATCATGCACCTGAACTACAGGAAGCCCGCAGGATTTACCTGCAGCGATGTAGAGTGATCCTGTGTACCCAGGGGCGGACTGACAACTCATGGGGCCCCCGGGCAATAGGGGATCATGGGGCCCCTGTGTCCTTGCCCAAACTCAAAAAAGCCTATCAAAAAGGTACCAGGGGAATCTCATGGGGCCCCCTACTGACCCCGGCCCTCGGGCAGTGCCCGAGTTTCCAAATGGTCAGTCTGCCCCTGTGTGAACCCATTGGTTGAGGAGGCAGCAGAAGGTTGTACAGCCTGTAGGCTACAGGTTGACTGCCCCTCCCCTGCTGCCTCCTCAGCCAATGGGTAGCTGAACCTTCCTCAGAAGACCATCCCTTCTGGCATCACCCGGGATCCCCTGAGTCCCGAAAACCTTTTCTATACTTTTCTATACAACATGTAGGAGACGGGTTGCGGCTGTGACAGAAAAAGGCTGTGCGGTTCCTGCAGCTGGTGGTCCCGCAGCTACACTAGCCTAGTTGCTGCACCGTGGATGGATGATATGGGTGGGGGGTTGGACCCCCTGGGCCCTCCTTATCTATGCCCCTGTTTGCATGCATGTGTAGCGCTTACCCCCGGAGGGGCCACTTTAGATTACCCCAGGTCTCCCTTGCGAGTACAGAGGCTACCAGGCACAAGCACAGTTCTACACAATGACAATACAGGCTCAGTCTAGGGGATGTAGTTTTGAAATTCATTGCTGTGTAACTTGAAACAGGAGAGGGGTTTGGGGGTGTCCAGGATACTCCAAAATGCTCAAAAGGAGGGCAAACTTCCAGCACAAATCCTTATAGCTACAGACACACATGAAAGTCCCATAGCTTACTCACAATGTCCCAGAAGCTGACTGCCACCCAGCTTCTACAGGTAGTTCCTCAGTTAGGGAGATAAAAGATCCTTCTCCAGACCAGAAATTCAGGATGGTGCCCTCCAGTAAAATCGTTTAGTAACCTTCTCCAGGACCTGCCGAGGTCCGAACTGCAATTTCTTGTCTCTCTCCATAGCTACCTCCCAGGGACAGCAGTCCTGGGAGAACTGAAATGTTTCTAGTAGAGGAAGAACACTCTGATCAGGCCTCCCAAACATTTATCACCTCCACAGCCACCTTCTGGACACCCCCTTTTAGGGATTGACTGAGGCATGATAAATATTCATAACTGAGTTATTGACCCTCCCTGCTCTATTGTCTGGCAGCTTCTTCCAGAAACAAGCATGAATAATTGATTCATATGTAGCAACATGAACAGGGTGCTACATATGAATCCATTAATTTAAAAACAAAAAGTCCTATATTTAAAAAGGTGAACCATTTGTAGCTATTATATTAGAGTATTTCATATTTTCTATTGAGTATCAGCTTCTCAAGTTCTTTTGCTTTTAATGCTGTCATAGTGTCACCTGCAGTGGATACAATAGTGAGTAGGGGACTTTTATGGGTACTATAGCTACCCTGTTACATCCAGTATGATGCCACGGGACCCAGTAGACCATGGTTGTCAGGACCGGTCAGCTGTGATTAGTCCAGGTACCTTGTGACTGCTGTGACCTGTTATCACATGTTCCATAGTAAACAGCTGTGGCATCCTTTCATGTCAGCAAGGTTTACTATTGTGATCTCTGTGATTGGTCACAGTGATCACATGGTACAGGGCAAATCACAGCAGCCCTGTACCATGTGATAGCTGTGACCAAATACAGCAATTACAATAGTAAACAATGGATGATTAATGAAAGTCATTCATGAAAGTTAAAGTGATACTAAAGTCTTGTTTGTTTGTTTGTTTGTTTGTTTTTAAATAACAAACATGCTATACTTACCTGCTCTATGCAGTGGTTTTCCACAGAGCAGCCCGAATCCTCCCTTTCTCAGGTTCCCCGCTAGTGCTCCTGGCTCCTCCCTCCTGTTGGGTACCCCAATAACAAGCAGCTTGCTATGGAGACACCCAAGCAGGCGCATTCCTGAGCCGCTGCTCTGCATGTCCATTCACACACAGAACCGCAGCTCGGCCCCACTCCCTCCCTCTCCTGATTGGCTCAATGGCTGTAATTGACTCCAATCAGGAGTTAGAGTCCCTGGAGAACCAAGGCTGTTGTGGACATTGGGTCTCAGGTAAGTGTTAAGGGGGCTGGTGAGGCTGCTACACAGGGGGTTTCCTTAATGCATACATTTCATACAATGCATACAATACATAAACCTTGAGCCTTTAGAACCAATTTAAAACTACTGCTAGGCGTAATCCTAGACTCTGACCTCACCTTCGGGCCCCACATCCAATCACTGGTTAAATCCTGCTGCCTCAACCTCCACGACATTTCCAGAATTCACCTCTTCCTGACTAATGACACCACAAAGCAATGCCTTGGTTATATCCCACCTTGATTACTGTAACTCCCTCCTCACTGGTCTACCATTACACAGGCTATCCCCCCTTCAGTCTATTATGAATGCTGCTGCTAGACTCATACACCTTACCAACCGATCAGCGACTGCTGCCCCTCTCTGCCAATCCCTTCACTGGCTTCCACTGGCCCAATATGTAAAATTCAAAATACTAGCCACAACGTACGAAGCCATCCACAGCATCACCCCGAGCCACATCACCAATCTCATCTGCAGATATCGTCCAAATCGTCCACTCCGTTCCATCTAAGACATCTTGCTTTCTTGCTCCCTCATCGCCTCCTCCCATGCCCACCTCCAGGTGTTCTCCAGAACCTCTCCCATCCTCTGGAACTCCCTGCCCCGGTATGT